GTATATATACAACAATAGTTTCCAAAACATATATGGAGTCCTACTTCTACAAGGAAACAAATTAAGATGAGATATGTACAAACATATTCCAATAATATCATTTAATTTCAAGATCTTGAAACTTTTTCTTAGTGATTGGCCAAAACTAAATAGCTTGTTGGCATGAGATATTAGAAGAAGAAAACCAAGAAATTCGTTTTAGTATCTTTTCTAGTTTGCTTAACTCTTGTTTTAGGGAATATCAATTTTCTTGTTTACTTTACCTTCTGCTTATATAAAAAGGGTTAGATACTTGTATTCAGAACACATTTCAACACAAGCATTTCTCAGTTTATTAAATACTAACGTATATATTGACTTAAAAAAATAAGTTAAGTTTGTACGCAATATTTAATAATTTGAAAAAGAGGAATGAACGAAACAAACCGAACAACACAATTAACTTTAGAGGGTCTAAAAACAAAATTTATAAATTTGACAAGATCAAAACAGAGATTTAAATATGGAGAAGATTATTTGCAAAAATAATAATTATAGTGGGAAGATTTAAATAAAAATATGGAGTGTTTTGGAGAAATCATAATCAAAACTCGCTACTTTAATTTTACATGGATGAAAAGTATATATTTAACTCTTATATTTCATCAAAAGCAAATTCTTTTGTGGACTTAAAAACCATGCTTATTTTTGGCCCGTTCGGAAATATCATTTTTATCAGCGTTAACGTTTTGGATAAAATTTTAACGGTGCAGATTAATTCTGAAAATTCTAACGTTGAATGCTACCCGTAGATATCATTTTCAAAACACTAACCTCTAATGTTATTACGAAATAGGCCCTTTATGGATCTTATTTTACTACCAAAAACACGCGTTTTTGTGAAGGAATTTGTGGCGTCTCGTAGGCATTTGTTTTCGTCTCAAAATGGTTTGTGACGGATCATGGGCGTGCGTAATCAGGCGTCACAAACACTTTGTGACGGAATATTAAGCGTTCACAAAATATACAAACAATATCCACATGCAAAAAATATCGTATTTGTCGTATAAAAGAAGTGAATCTTTTACAAAAAATATCCACATGCAAACTCATGAAAAATGTGAAAAGATCCACATTTTAAATATTGAGTGTGAAATGTTATAGGCATTACCATTAATCAAATAATCAACTAAAATATACAAACAAATAACAATTATTGAGATACAAATTAAACTAATAATGGTAACGATAATTCTCAGACACGGGGGAGTATTTGTGGACAAACTAGTTACTACAAGTTAGGGTCGGCCTCGAAAAATAAAAAAATGAAATTGGTACGGTCTGAAATTTACATTTTGGGCTCTATTTTATTATGTTAGAAAACTTATGCTTCAAAATTAATGATGAATTTAAAAGTATGATTTCTAAAATTTTAGGGGTTCTGTGCGGTTGACTACTTTGTACACCCCCGGGACCACCCTTGCTAGAAGTATTTCATAATGATAACATCTACTCCCTCTGTCCTAAAATTAATTTCTCACTTTGACTTTTGTAGTCAAAGTTTTTAAAATAATTGAGTTAATCCGTCCTACGATATAATTTTGATGCATCAAATTTTATAACATTTATTTATTAAAGTAATATTTAATTCGTAGTCAATGAACGTCACACAACTTGACCAACAAAAGTCAAAGCTGAAATTTTTTTCTAAGACAACGACAAAATTAAAGGACATAATTAACGAATTCATGATGACTTCAACACACACACACACATATTAATACTAATACTAAAATGGGCGAAGAATGCCATTGCAAATTGTATGAAGCTAATTAAGCCTAGCAAACAATTACTTCTTGCAATTTATTTGATTGGATTTGGTGTGATAATATTAAGGTTTAATCTGATCTAATCTGATCGTAAAATGTTTGTAATACTTGACACTCTTGACCCGATTTTAAATTTTTAATATATGAATATTTCTATATCGGACATGGAATGTGTCATAATGTGAATGTGATACCTAAGGTGAGTATGAGAATAATACCGAAGAAGGCGAAGTGCCAAATCTTTAAATCTTACACTATAATCACTCGAAGAATGTGATTATCAAATCCCCATTAATCATAGGGCTCTGTAATTAGGATTTTTATTTGGTAGCCTTAACAATTAAAATAAATACTCGTAATATTTAACGCATGCATCAGTACTACATTTGACTCTCATGGGATGCTTTTAATTTTCAATATGCCATTCAATTAATTTCTAATATTCCGTTCTCTTTAGTTTATTTTGTCTATTTTTTCTTTGTTCTCATTCGATTCTAATCAGCAACAAATTCAAAATTTGTAATACATTGCAATTAAATCCGATCAAACCATATTAGATTTGATTTTAAAAAATTCGTATTAGATTCAATAAAAAAATTCGTATTAGACTCTCTGCTTTTAGTGGGTTAATGTCTGCGTACACACACTCTTTCCAAACTCTGTTTTTTATGGGATTCTACTGGATTGTTATTGTTTGTATAATTGGGTTGTGCTATTAATTATAGTCGTAAGATCCATACTAATTTTCTTTCATATTTTCTACGAGCTCATAGTTGCATGTTTATTGTTTATAAATGCGAAATACATTTAACAATTTTATGTACTCCCTCCGGTTTTAAAAATATGAGAGTTATTGATTTTTAAGATATTTAAGTAAGTGTATTTTGGTATTGAATTTCCAAAAAAGTCCTTTGATGTGATGAGTAAAAGTAGTAAAAAAGTATGAATAGTATGATGTGATAAGTAGGGAATGAAAAAGTAAGGGGTAAAAGAGGCTTTTAATAGAAATAAGAAGTGTTTGTTGGGACGGATGAAAAAAGAAATGAGAAAGGTTTTTAGTGAGGGATGAAGTATTAAAATTCATAAAATAAATATGGATATCAGAAGAATAAACCTAAGGGTATACCAAAATGGGATACTCCATTTCTGCATTAGGCAAACACAGACATTTAGTGTATATGGATCACAAACACTAAGTGTCCATGTTTATCTGTGTTTACATGGTATACAAATGGAGTACCCCATTTTGGTGTACCCCTAACATGCCCCATATCAGAAACACACAAAAGTTTGTCTAAAATAAAAGTGCGGAAGAGATATATAATAGCACCATCATATTTTATTTAGAAAAAAGTTATGCGAAAATAATTTTGAAATAACCAAAAAATAAGAGCATTAAGTTTCTTTTAAACTAGGAAAAATATTCTTCTTATTTGATGTTTTTCGTTAAAACTTATAAACTTTGATCATAATATATAAGAAAGCACTACATTAATTTTTTTAAAAGTACATTAAAATATGATAAAAACTTTTTTTTTAAAATATAGATTGTAGTACCATACTTTTTTAGGACGGAGGATGTATATACAGAGTTTAATACGGAGTATTTGATATTGGGTTTTTAAAATAATGGATTATGAATTTTTTTTCTAAACAAAGTCGTTTTTTAAAAACCGCAATTATAATCTTGAAAAACATAGGTTCAAAAGAAATTATGATAGAAACAAACTCGAATTAGTTTTACATTATTTGTTAAAAAAAAATCGGGTCATTGCGGATACTCTCTCCATCTCAAAATGTTCTTTTAAATTCCTATTCACACGATTAAATTTTAATGACTTTCATGACCTATTTTGGTTAGTTATTTAATAAAATAATATAGTCATATCACTTCTTGTTTTGTAGTACTCCGGGTACTTTAGATGTTAAATATATAAATTTTATTTTTCAATTTTACAACTGCAATCAAATAAATTGAATTGAACATAAAATTAGTCAAAACTCGTAAAAAGAAATAGGAACAACATTTTAGGACGGAGGGAATGTCATTTCAATAAAAAACGGAAGTTGAAAAGGGTTACCAAACTCATTCTATGCATTGTTTGGATCAATTGAATGAGTAGAGAAAATGAAAAGAGAAAAAAATAAGAGGATAAAGAAAATGTTGAGAAAAAATGAAGAGAAAATTGAAAGAAATTTAATATTGTTTGAATCAATAGAAAATGAGAGAAAAAATAAGATGAACAAAAATATGATAAAGTAAAAAAGAAATATTTGTAGGTTTATGTACTACACTACAGTAATAAAAAGCAAATAAAGGGAAAAATTATAATTTCAAAAAATTTCTCTCCCCACTCCAATTTTGTACTCCCTCTATTCACATTTTTGACTTTTTAACCAAACCGGAGAATTTGCATAGAAAATCATGTCTTTTAATGTATTCTTTTCTTTCTCTCCCAAATCTATTCATCCAAAACAAGGTTAATGTTGAATACCCGAAACACTAGATTGCAAACTTAAGTTTAATCTTATGAGCGCTAGATAATTTGTGTATTGTAAGTCAGATGATTGAGAAGTTAGTATAAAAAAATAAATTTATATTCAATTTTTAACACGATCAATCCTCACTCGACAATCTTTATTCCATCTTTAATTTTTTTTATTCACACTGCGAATTTCGGTCTTGTTTGGAAATAACAGTTTCAATTAGCGTTGACGTTTTAGACAAAATTTTAATGGTATAGATTAATTTATGAAACGTTAATGCTAAAAAGCTATCGTCAGATAATCTTTTGAAAAAACTAATGCAAATCTATAACGTTGATATCAAACGAAACCTATGTAATAGAGAGAGAGACTATGAGTAAATTTAGAATATATCTTTGGACACTCCAAATTACAGACCCGAAATTTCAATGACGGGGTAAAAACGAGGGTAAAAAACTCTAAACCGCAAATGAATTGATCAACCAAACCAGTTGAAAAAGAAACCAAAAGCAGAGGTTTAGATTCGAATCTAGTTACTCACTCCTTCCAAGTTTTCAATTCAGAAGAATTAACAAAAGAAGAAGAAGAAGAAAAGATCCCACCCCCACCCCCACCCCCACCCCCTACCCCTACCCCCTACCCCTACCACCCACCGCACCGCACCGCATATTTAACTCTCAAACCACCGACTGGCGACGCCATTTACGGCCCTCTTCCCCATTCACTCCTCTCTCTCTCTCTCTATCGGACCCCGAAATCACGAAAACCGATGAAAATTTCATCATCTTTCTTCCCAAATTTGGCTTCCCAATTCGCGATTTTCGAACTTTCCGAAATCCGCCCCCATTTCTCCTCCTTGCGAACTGCAATAAGTGGATTTCGAATTTAATTCTTGCACACTTTTTCTCCCCTGCTCTCTTCCTCGCTGAAAGGAAGAGGCACTGAGACCGGCGTGAGAAACCCACCCGTGAATGATTAAAGTGAAAGAAGAGGAAAGGAAAAAGTTTCGATTTTTTTCCCCCCTTCTTCTGTTTTTCTGTCCGGAGCATCTTATTCTATGCTGATAAGAAGAAGCAAAACAATATACCTTGGTTCTTGTAACTTGTAAGCTATTTCTTTTTCTTTCTTTTTTAATTTTTTTACTACCCAGTTTAATTTCACGGGGCTGTATTTTTGCTGCAAATGTCCGTTAAAATGTCATGTCTCCAGTCCATGCAAGTCTGGGTTTTTTGATCTCTGGCTTCTCATTTTGGATGTGGGGTTTCATTTCAGTTCTTTATTTTATTCTTATTATCCTAATTTTTTAATCTTCTGGCTGAGGGATGGCTAGGGTTCATATTCCTATGCAGATAATATAATATTTTAAGTGGAGGGGAGGGGGGAGAAGTTTTTTTTGTTTTGTTTTTGTTTTTTAGAAAAAAAAACTTGTTGTTTTAATAATGTTTGAATTTTGGCTCTGTGAAGCTGTTTTTTGTTGGGAGACCGGGCTCAGTGGGCGTGGGTTGGGATCCATGCCAGATCTGAGCTTTTTCTTTGGTTTTTTACACACATTATTTGAAGCACAAGATTTGTATTTGTGTTGTTGCATGAGTCATGGAATGTTTGGTTTGTTTATTCATTTTCTTGGTACCTGCGTTCGTGCTCTGTTTGGTTAATTAAATTCTCTCCATCCTTTCTGTGATAGGTTCATAAATATATTATTTTAAAGGCAGCAGCTGGGCATATTGTCTAGGGGGCTTATAAAGTCATGCCTTGAGATTGGGTTTCATGGGGTGAGCTCACTGTATAATGGGTAGCTTCTGTGCTGATGAAGAAGAATGTCAGTTTTTCGATGCTCCGGAGAGTATTGGCCAATTCGATTCGTGGATTGATGATTGGGCGGCTGAGAGATACAAATATGATATGTGGATTCAAAGTCCAAAGAGTGTTAGGGAGCGCCGTATGAATTTCTTTCATTGTCTTAGCAGGGGTATTGATGGGATAATTGACATCAACGGGACTTTTCCTAGAAACTCAGTCATTGAAGAAGAAGAAGATGAAGAAGTAGAAAACGAAGAAGAATGTTCCTCTAGCAGATCTTATGGTCCAAGTTCATCATCTGCTGGTGTGTTGTGTTCATTAATGGAGGAAGGTTCAACGGAGACCTTCATACCTACAAGTGTGAATCTTGATTGTCGAATCTCCAATGCTAGTGCTTTTTCAGAGCCTGCAATGGAGAGTAGCCACCCAAACATGGCATTAATAAATGGGATGGATCGGAGGATACTGAATAGAGTTAAGAGCCGTTGGATGAGTAGATTGCGTTCAATGACCTGTATTTATAATGAAGGAGGGAGAACAAATGATGCGAAAACATATGGGTTGGTTCCCATCTCAAGGTCTAGACTTCAGAGGGTCAAAGTCAGGCAGTGCAATAAGAGACAGAAGGAATTGTCTGCCGTTTTTACCGGGCAAGAAATTCTTGCCCATGATGGTTCGATCTCTGCAATGAAATTCAGCCATGATGGCCAATACTTAGCTAGTGCTGGTGAAGATCAGGCTGTGCGCGTATGGCAAGTGGTTTCAGATGAAAGATCCAATAAAAGTGACCTTCCGGATTTGGATCCTTCGTGCATTTACTTCACGGTGAATCGTTTGTCTCAACTAGAACCTGTTTCTAGAGAGAAAGGGGGGATAAATAAATCAGCGGGCATCAAGAAATCAGCCGACTCTGCTTGTGTTGTTTTCCCTCCAAGGATCTTCCGGATTCTTGAAAAGCCTCTCCATGTTTTCCTAGGACACAAGGCCGAGATTTCAGATCTTTCATGGGCTAAGAACAATGTGCGTTTACCTTGCTCTCTTCCTCTTTTATTCTGTTTGGTACCCAAAACTCGCTTTTATCTATTTGGCAGAATAATATATTCCGAGTATTCAACACAAGCATATTTGGCTAAAATGGATTTTGTTATTTCTTCGCTTATTTCACATGGTCCTTTTTTTCTCCTGCAGTCTCTTCTTTCGTGTTCAGTTGACAAAACGGTTCGACTTTGGCAAGTTGGTTTTGATCAATGCCTCCAAGTCTTTTCACACACCAATTATGGTACTAATCTGGCCTTTTTATGTACATGTTTATACATAGTCTGAAAGTGCTCTTTTACTAACTTCATCAATTCTTATCAGTCTATTCTTTTTCTGTTTTTGATGTGATGTGCAGTGTCATGTGTCCAATTTAACCCTGTAAATGACGATTACTTCATTAGCAGTTCAATTGATGGGAAAATTCGAATTTGGACAGTTAGTGGTGCTCAAGTGGTTGATTGGACCGAGGTTAAAGACATAGTTACTGCTGTTTCGTATCGCCCTGATGGGCAGGTACCTTAATCTCGAAACTCTAGCTTTTTTTGGTTACGATGTACAACCAAAGGGCACAAAATCCAGTAAAAAAAGGTTTACTGTTATGATATGGTTTTTGATATACTCCTATCTACCATTTGTTTTAGGGTGGTGTAATAGGATCTACAACAGGCACCTGTCGTTTTTTCAACGTTACAGGTAATTTTAAAGCCCGCAATATCTTGGAGTATTAATTTCATGGATGGCGTGATTGATTTTATCATGAATTAATTTGATCAAATTTGCCACCTTACAGATAACCGCGTCCAACTAGAGTCCGATATTTGTCTGATCAGTAAAAAGAAGTCGCTAAGCAAAAGGATTACTGGCTTTCAGGTTATTATTGAACTTGTTATTAAAATTTGATGTTTATACATTAATATTGCCTTGTTGCATTGTTCGTCGCACTCAAATTTACATTAAATTATCACTAAAATGCAGTTTGATCCAAGAGACGCAAGCAAAGTGATGGTTACTCTTGCAGACTCTCAAGTGAGAATCATTTGCGGGAAGAATGTTGTGACTAAGTATAAAGGTGCCCCCTTTTTTACCTTAGTATTTTCATTCTAGTTGTTAAATTACCCCAAAAGAATGTTACGGCATACCTCAAACTCGGTAAATGTTCAATGCGGGATATTTTACTAAGTTAACCTCCCCCGAATCATCGAGTGCTTGGGTTCCCCGGGTTCCCCAAACTCGATATTTTACTAATAATAAGCTCATAATTGTGTATAATAGGTCTCCCAAAACGAATTGGCAATGCCATAAGTAGTCGATATTCTTATATATTAGTCTTTTTAGCTGGACTTTCTGTGCTCAAACACATGCATATCTATCTCGACAGGGCCTAGGAATGCAGGAAACCTAATGTCAGCTTCAATAACTTCAGACGGAAAGCACATCATCTCTTCGTCTGAAGATTCCAATGTTTACGTGTGGAACCGTATCTCCCCAGAAGAATCCTCTGCGTCAAAACCAAAAGTGATGAAATCGTTTGAGTTCTTCCCTTCTGGGAATGCATCCATTGCAATACCGTGGCCCGGCACGAAACTTGAGCCCTCCCATGGAGTGGATGATAATAACAACATCAAGAATGCGTTGCCCTTCTCCATTTCCCGATTGGACAGAGAACTGTTCTTAGAGGCTACCGTTCCCAAGGGCTCTGCAACTTGGCCGGAAGAGAAACTGCCTGCGCCCACAACCCATCACCAGACTTCCGCAATGTGCAAATCTCAATACAGATTTCTCAAGAACTCGTGCAAAAACACGTCGTCCAGTCACGCCTGGGGTTTAGTCATAGTCACTGCTGGGCAAGACGGGCGGATCAGGTCGTTCCACAACTACGGATTGCCTGTCCCTCTGTAAAATTACTGCAAGATGAGTTTTCGAAGATTTAAAAAAAAGAAAAAAAAACTTTTTTTTCGAGTCGGTACGTGGGCCCCTCCACCGGGGTATATATGCCTGCACCATATGGGACTGTTTGGCTGATCTAAATGGGAAATGGCCAGAAGTTTTTGATGGGTTTCTGCAGCTAACATTATTACTATTATTATTATGCCCTCTGACTGTAGGGACTTTGAATAAGGTTCTCAAAAAAAAAGAACAGAAAAAAAAAGAGAGAAAAAGAAAGATGATACCCTTATAAAGCCCCAGCAGGAAGTGGGGTTTGTAATGAAATGTGGATGGATGCACTTTGTTGTACAGAAGTGCCCCAGGTTTTGTAGGGTTGTTTGGCTGTACAGAAGGAAGGAGATAAGACTATGATGATGATGAGCCTCTATGTATATTGAGGCCTCTGTTCCTTTTATTATACTCCGTAATTAACAAAATAGGCTGACTGGAAGGAATCATTTGCCATAATTTTGACACCAAATGTCTCTTGCTTCTCCCCTTTCTTAGAGCACCGGAAATATGTTTGAAGCCCCGGGGCTTCAAACTTTCTCTCTCTGCCATGTCAGCTTTAACTTACACCCAAAATTCACTGGAAATGAGTTTGAAGCCCTGAGGCTTCAAACCTTCATTTTTTACATTTTTAAATATACATCTTCTAAAATTAAATTAATAAAACGTAATTAATTTATTACGGAGTATTTAATTAAATTGAAACATGAATAATAAAAAAATACATTAATTAAATAAAAAAAAGCGACAATAATTTAAAAAAAGATACATTAATAAAAAAACCTAAGGTAAATTATATTTCTCCTTGATCTCTCTCATTCTTTGCTTGTAGATCATTAGTCCAAACTCTGACAACGTCCTGAGGTCGGTTTGCATGATTTTCATCTCGGCCTCCTGCTCCTTTAGCTTCAACTCCTTCTCCTTTAGCTTCAACCTCTCTTGTTCTCGAAGATTGAACGCCCGAAGTTGTTCAACCATTTCCCGGCCGATTTCGTCGCGGGAAGAAGCGGAAACAGAGGCAGACTCTCCCGAACCAGAGGCAATGGATTTTGCCTTCTTTCTTCCGATCGGCCGTGAAATGGGGTCCTCGTCATCGGAATCCGCAACGTTGAAGGGAGGAATTTGATCGGTAGAACCGATAGTCTCGTCGACCTCAACCTCGACGTCGACGGTGGATCTTTTCCGAAACGATCCGCCGTCGGGATTGTTGAGTTGGTGCCACTTCGGGGAATGACTCAAAATCCTCAAAAGATCGATGGGCACCTTGCCTTGGTGCCCGTCGTCTTGATACCGGGTCGTGGCAAGCTGGAGAACATCGGCGTCGTTCGTGCCGCTCCTCCGGGACCGGGAGCATTCCTCGTAAACTCCGATAAACTTTCGAACTTTTTTGTTGATGTGGCTCCATTTGGAAGTGAGTTGGTCCCGGGTTCGGTAGGAGCCGTCCTTGTTCATCGTCGTGAAGAACTTCTTCTCGATACGATCCCACATCGCATCCTTCGTTTGCTCCGTACCTTTAAAAATGTATTACACAATTTTTTTAGACACCATTAAATATAATATATATAAATAAAAACATAAATATATTAGAAAAAATAAATTTTTTACCAATGATAGGATGCTCGGAGACGTCAACCCAAGCCGACGCCAATATGCACTCCTCCTCCGGCGTCCACTTTTGGATTGACCGTGCCGCCTCGGTCAACGTGCTTTTGGCTTTGTGGCTTTTCCGACGTGTACTTTTTTTCGACCCGGACGGTTCCGGTTGAGTCTCCGGAACCGAATCTCGGTCGACGTACCCCGATTGTTGTGTCTCGTACATCGGTGGTCGATCACCCAACTCTTGGTAATACCACATCGCGGCGTCGACGGCGCGAGATTGTCGGGAAAGAAGCCGGAGCCGGAAGGATTCATGTTGAAAATTGGGAGGGGAGGTTTGAATTTTGAAATTTAAAAATTGGGAATAAGAAGAGATTGAAGATGGAGATGGTGTGAGATATTGGGAAGGGGGGTTTGAATTTATAATAATTTTTTTTTTTTGAATTGGGGGTGCAACGGCTCAAAGAGCCGTTAGGGGGGAGGGGGAGACGAATGACGCTACGTCATTCGTTTGACGCACGCCGGATCACGGCCCTTTAACGCCGGAGGGGGGCGGTGTTTCACGCCCCAGGGGTTAAACGCCCATTCACGCCGGCGAGCGTGATGAGTATTATCAGTGCTTTTAAAGAAGTACCCGGTATTAGGGATAGAAATGGTACTTTCCAATTTGTCTCCTTAAAATAAACTAATTTTAGCAAAAGCTATATTCCATTAAGGGTTGTTTCTGTGGAAGTAATATCCCAATTTTGTTCAATTTGGTGCTGTTTTGTTTAGGTTACACAGTTACACCATAAACTGTTTCATTCAAAATATTTTAGTTCAATTTATTTTTTCACCAAGGTTCCCATGACATTGCCCGGCAATGTCATGGGATGACCCGGGACGCTCTGGTGCCCCGTTCTTAAATTTGACGGTTCCTACCCTTTTAACCCCCTGGTAAACCCTCCACCCTGCCCCGACCCGAACACACCCCATACCTCCATCATTTGCACCCCACAAGTTGATTTTGACTTTGGGGTTAAATTTTGACTCCAAATTTTGGTATTTTGATCATCCAAATTTAAAGTATATTCTCGAAACAGTCATTTCTGTACAACTAAATTTAAATTTATAAAATACATTGACTATAAATAATTCATGAATTATTTAAAACTTATAAAAAATCTTTCAAATTTCAAATCAAATACACATCTAACTAGAAAAAACCTTTTTGGGAAAACACTTCATCATAAATGATCATTTTAAGAATTAATTCTAAATTTAGCGGATAAAAAATACCAAAATACATTCAATTAATCCTTATTTGAGTAACATTATTTACGAAGGACTATATTGGGAATAAATCTCAATTATAGAAGACCACGTAGGTAATTAAAACTTATTGAGGATTGATTTGGGAAAATACCTTATTACAAAGGACTATTTTGGGAATTTTACTCTAAAATATATATTGTACATTAATTAGATAAAATAAGATTTTAAAAATATTTCATATAATAAGTTATAATAAAACTATATTGTATCAATATCTAATATCATTTTTATCTAATTTGAGGTCAAGTTTACCAATTTTGAGTGGAAAAAATCAAAAGCGGACAAATATTCAAAGACAGAGGGATAGAAAAATTGAAAACCCAGTCCCCTTATGCTTGGCGGAGAAGTGGGAGAATGATAACAAAGACTCTTCCTTCACAATTCGTATCCAAAATAGATTGAAGAAAAATATAAGAAAAATTAGACGTTTGGGAGAGGGAATTTTTTTTAGACGGACAATAGAGAAAGATAATCAGAGATTCATGCAATTCCCAATGAAGATGAAGACAAAATCAACAAGTTTGACAAAATCTACAAGCTTGGAAGACATTTGAAGATTGGTTTTTAATCCTAGAAACCACTAAAAAATCTTTATTCAATTAAGTTCTTTGAAAATTCATAATTTGTTTGGTATTGCTAGACTTCACATTTTAAAATCCTAATTGAACACATAAAATGCAAATGGTTTTTTAAAAAAACCGATTCTATGATTGCAAAAAAAAATCCTTCAAACTCTTGATCAATGCCTCCACCTTAGAGCTTGGTTCTTTAGCTTACTCGTATTATTTACAAAATGCACAGTATTACCTATTAGTATTATTAAAATCAGATCAGACCATATCACAAACAAATTTAAACATAACAAAGATCAGACCATGTTCGATTTTAATAAAATTAGACCAAATGAAGAAAACATACCTAGACTAAAATAAATTCATAACTTTTAAACAACATTTACTAATAAAATGGATTCACGTATAATTTAAAATATAATGTCATTGGCCATGCCAAATAACTGCAAAACTCCCTCAAATGCATCAAAAACCAAACTGCCAAAAAAAATCATCCCAAGACATGCTTAAGATGAACTAACTACGGAGTACATACTAAAATCAGAACTTCTGTCATATACTCCAGGCAAAATTGAGACAATTACTCCATTGCAACTCTCAGTTGATCAATCGCCCTTTCTCCTGAAAGAACAGCCCTCCCGGAGTCTCGCACGGCCACCAGAGGGCTGGCACAACACTGTTGGACAGTTCCGACACACCACGACTGTATGAGAGTGGCTAAACACAGTAGTTCTGCACATACATATACCCACCAAAGCATTAGATGATTCTTGTTAGGATGCAACAAATCATAAAGCACAGACATCAGAATCTCGCGGGACAGTTTATCTTGGTCTTTGATGATTTGCTTTATAAGAATTTAGGTAGATAATGAATTATGACTATCATAACCAACGCCTCCGTTCATGTGACATTCATTTTCAATGTCATAGCATGACCCGAGCTACTTACGAGGTTCCGTTAATAAAATTGATAGTTCCTACCCCTAACTCCACCTTAAACCCCAAACACCCAACACCACAACCCCTGCTCCACTTGCCAATTAGCTAGGGTGATCACTATAGCCGATCGGCAAAGGGGTTTAGGGATGGTCAAGGGTAAGAACTATGAATTTCACAATCAATTTTACCAATAGAGCCCCATAAGAGGCTCGGGTATGCTATAACATTGATCACATGAACCGGCCCGCATAACCAATACATTGCTTAGAACTAAACATTAAAACCCCATAGTGACAAACAATCTCTCCCAAGTAAACCATGAAAGATCAGATAAGAATTAAAAATAATACGTACATGTTGGAGCACACTTGACACTTGACATCCTACATCAAAACCACAATCACCAAACAAAAAACATCTCATCAGATCAAAGCTCGTAAAATTTCACCAATATCAGGTCAAAAAACAAAAGGAATCCTATTCTAGTTTATGATTAATGTTTTGATCAGGCCAATTTCTTAGATATCATCGCTGGATCAGGAAAACATACCATGAAAAACGAGTTGGGAGACGGCACGAGGCGTTTAAGTTTGTGCTTTCTCTTCTCGGCCTCCGGAGAAGGGTGCAACAAATCGAAATCGTTCGAGATAGCCTGCAAATCATTATTAGATTCGCGCAAACAAAAAGTTGGGAAACGCTTTGATGAATAAAACATTAGGAATTGGGAAATCGTCTATGAAAATTGAGAACCGCCGTACCATTTTTTCAGTGAAGAACGAGCCGGGAATGAAACAGACGGCGGACAGCTACGACTCCGGTAGGTTATTGGAGAAGAAGAAGAAGGTTATCTGAGGCTTATATACCGCGGGTGGGGTTTGAGTAAAGTGGGTTCAAATTAATTTGGGCTGGACCGGCGCCGTCTGGCAATCAATGCCTTATTTAGGTGTTAATTACATTCACTTGTTGAAATATTAAAGCCATGTACACTCACATTCCCGTCGGGTCGGGGTGAGGGGCGCTCGGGGTGAGCGATTTCACCTTTTGGAGAATTAAAACCATGTACAATTTCCATTTCTAAGTCAGTCTTGATTTTTTTAAATTAAATATTTTTAATATTTGACATATAATTAAATTAAAATTTATATTTTATTTTACAAAATATTTCATATAATTGATCTAATAAAATTATTTTTGTATCAATATCTAATATTATTTTTTATTTAATTTGAGATTAAATTTTAAGGTTAAGATTTACCAATTTTGATTGAAAAAAATCAAAAATGGACAAATATTCAGAGATAGAGAGAGTACTTTATATTTAATAAATACATAAAAAAATTCGACATAACAAATGAATTGGAACTACCTTTTAACCAAATGAAGGTCAAGAAAGTTCTAGAGGAAGGGGCCAATTCAACTTTAAGAATAACACTCTTTCCCATCCTAACAACATTTCATATTTTAACTTTTTTGGTAAACATCGACACTCTTTGATTACAAATTATAAGAAACGTATATTTAATTATAATATAAATTTGACATAATTGGGTTAATATGAGGATATAGTTTTGATATATCAATTTTAATATTATTTTTAAGATAGCAAAGTGTCACTGTTTGACTCAAAAAATCGAAATAAGAAAGGTGTTTAGAACCGAAACGAGTAATATTAGATGTAATTTATGAAAGTCAATGTTATTTTAACTCTCCTAAATATGGACAACTGATAAACTTGAAAACAACAAATTTTAACGGAGGGTGGGAATTGGGACTAAATATTAAAAAAACAAAAATGCTTCGGATATACCAAAAAATGTACCCCGAGTGCCTCAAAGCATCTCCACCACATAATTTAAATATTGATCAAAAAAATTAATAAATAAATATAGAATGAGGCATAACGAATAGTGTACTCCTAGTTTTGTAATAGTTTACTAATTATTTGAAAATTAAATGTATGTTTGCATTTCCATCTTCAATTTGTAAACTATGAGTTTATACTCCGTAATTTTTTCCCCAATATCTAATACAAAACTAATCCATACAAAGAGTTCTTAGAAAAAATAATTTAACATGAATATATCTTTTAAAGATGACTAAACTCTATCGTTGGGCTTTAAAAATGAGAATTTTCCATGTTTAATTTTCTATTACTAAATATTATGTTCATGGTTCTTTGTTTATAATTATCTTTCTACGAAAAGTTCTTCGTTTAATCATCTGTCATGTTTAGTGTTGAATTAAGAGCAAAAGTGTAACTCTACATTAAAGAAAGCCCAACCATGTATTGACTAGCAACGATACATGTAGACTACGGTGTGATAGACGACAATTATAACGACAAAGGACACATTAGCAACAATCTCTGTTACTACAAGACGAATGTAAAAGACATGTAATCTCGAACGTTTAACCCTTAATTTTATACAAATGTAAGGAGTATAAAACAAAAGACATTCAAGAAAAAATATAGTCAAACCAAAAAACACAAAGAAAATACTCTCTTGTCCACCATAGATCTTTTCAAACACTATTTACAGGGTCAAACTTTACTTACTTTGTTTGCTCATTTTTACTAGTCATTTCGTAAAATAATATAGTCTTGTCACCTCTAGTTTTGTAAAACTTTTCATGTAGTTTATTACTATATAAATTTTATTTTAAAATTTTACTCCTAAAATCAATTAAATTAAATTGAAAATAAAGTTGGTCAAGCCTCGTAACGCGTAACGGGAAGAACTTAGTTGTGGAGGGAGGGAGTATTTGATACGAGTACTAAGAAAATTAAAGAAGGAAATACCCCCGTATATTACTTGTAATAAACGGATCTCAAAAGTTATTTGAACCAAATACCATGCAAAACTTAACTTGTTCTTCCACTCTGTATGAACACTAACTCTATCAGATCGTAACAAAGATGAATGAATCTACCTATAATCCGGACATTGCAGGCCGGGCAGATCTCCACCATGGAAAGATATTATTGCATTACCATTGGAGACCAAGAGAGAATGAGAGAAATTAAAGTGTCCGTTGATTTCGCCGATCGGAAATACATCAGGCGCGGTTGTTTTCGACGGAGGCGGGGACGGCGGTGATACTGGCGGCGGAGACGTTATTGGGATCAGGAACACCAAGAGAAGGGTTGTTGCCTTCGGACACCGCCACCGCAGCCGAATCCGATTCTTCCTCCTCCTCGTCGTCGTCGTCGGTGTCGTAGGTCGCGAGGTTGACGCACGAGAAACGCTCCAGCGACGAGAAGAAGGCCGCCGCCACGCTGGATCCGAACCACCGCGCTAGGCCGTCCAGCTTGTCGTAGGGCACCACGCTCGTATTCTCCATAGCTCAGATCTGTGAACAGAATTCTCGAATTTCTCGCTCGAATGGAAAAGCTTCACGAGGGTTCCGAGAGAGAAATTGCCAAATTGGTAAAATTCAACACAGAACCTGACAAGGGGCAAAAATTAATTATTATTAATATTTGTGATTATTTTCCACGCCAGGTCAGCGGGGCCAGTGGATGGATAAGGATAGAGAGACCAAACCAACGGCGACCAGAGGTCGACGCACAGCAACAAAAGAATGGCATTCCTTTCTTCTTCTTCTTCTCAGTCTCTTCTTCTCCATTGCCCAAAGAAACGTTCTCTCTGTAAATCTCTGCAACTCCGGCCGCCATCACAAATCAGATGCTCAGGTAAAGCGTTTCTTTCTAACATTTGATTTCCTTTTTTCTTTCGTTGTTGTGATTATGGGGTTATGAACAGCCAAGGCAAATGTATGTGAATTGAAGGAATTAAGGAATGTAGCTTGTAGTTTTCTTGCTGCTTGGGCAGTCACTGCTTCCCCTGTTATAGCTGCTAACCAGGTGAGAACTGAGAAATGGTTTTCTCTTCTATAGTTCTATCTATCATTTTGCTACCATTATGGTTTGGAGTTTCATTCTTGCTAAAGCTTGTATGAAATGATTGCCCAACTTTTCAGTTTTCACATTTGTTTCACCACATATTTCTTGTGAAATTTCTCCAACCTCGTCTGCTGTGATCATTCAAAAAAGATCGCGAGCTTGTTTTTGTTGGGTAAAATTAGCTACAATGGCTAAATATTTACAAATGAGTTATGTTTGATAGCTACAAAGACTGATAAACAACATATATCCAGGATTAATCACAGTGCATTTAGGGATGCAGATGTCACAAGGACAAATTTGGTTGGCATGAAACCCGTGTTAGAACAGAAAAAGCAGTTGGGTGTCCATTTTATTGTATGAAAATGGACCATTGTTTTGTGATCATTCATATGTTTTTCCAGATTATACTACGGATCGGAGTGTTTTTTTACAATACTTTTTGCAACTAGCAGAGTACTCTGTATCATACTTCGTTCCTCCTGAAAATGGAGTGAAATGCTTCTAAGTTGTAATGATGAAAATCGAATTTGGGGCTTTGCAACACCTTGCAGAACACTTTCATATTTAAAAAGAAACGTGAAGTGAAAGAGTAAGGGAAATGGGTGAGGAATGCTATTGAATTGATGAAAATACCTTTTCCATTGCACTGTCAATGAAATGAGGAATGTTATTTGTTGTTTTGGCTCATCCAAATTTAATGTGACTTAATTTTCAGAGGTTACCACCTTTATCAGTGGAGCCAAACAGATGCGAGCGGGCTTTTGTTGGTAACACGATAGGTCAAGCCAATGGTGTTTATGACAAACCACTTGATCTCCGTTTTTGCAATTACATGAACGAGAAAACCAAGCTCAAGGGGAAGTCTCTTTCAGCAGCTCTTATGTCAGAAGCCAAGTTTGATGGCGCAGACATGTCTGAAGTTGTAATGTCAAAGGCTTATGCAGTTGGAGCTAGTTTTAAAGGTAAACAATCTCTTTACTAGTTCCTTTACCCTCTAGGGCATGTTTTCTTCAACTTATTCTTATTACTTACTTCGTATTATTTATTCTTAGCTTATTAGAATAAAAAACAGGGCAGACCAAACGAGACAAAAAACAATAATTTTTTTGAGTAATATTCTAACACGTACTTTTCTCAACCTAATGTAGCACATATAGTCATTGCCCTGTTGGGATTTGAACATGTGTCATCCTATTTAGGAGAGTCACCGTTATGCCACTTGACCATAAGGTCTGGCACCTATAATTGACTATAAGGGATAAGATAATAATGCGAAAAAAGATGACAATTTGTTGAAGATTGATGAACAGCCTCTTTGTTGTGCTTTTAAGCAGGTACTAACTTTGCAAATGCTGTTCTTGATCGGGTTGATTTTGGGAAGGCCGACCTCCGAGGATCTTCTTTTAAGAATACTGTTCTGTCAGGATCTACGTTTACTGATGCTAAACTTGAAGGTGCGGTCTTTGAGGACACCATTATCGGCTATGTCGACCTTCAGAAGCTCTGCACAAACAAGACCATCAACGAAGAAGGACGAGCTAACTTAGGATGTCGGTAGCATCTTGTCATGACCTTAAATGGCTGGTTGTAAAAACATCTGCTATTTTTTTGTGGACACTACAAAAATATAACATGAGATTCATAACTATGAAGACTGAAGAGGGACCATGCATGTAAAATTCTTCAATACATGGTTGTTGGTGAGGTCAAAGGAGATCGATGAGATCCAACTAACTATGGATCTCTCATTGTTAGATGTGGAAGATATCAACAAAAAATTATCCTCCCAAAAACAAATTTCCTCCTATTATTTTAAAGTAACGATATCTACCGTACATAGAGACACTCTCCCATGGTTCGCGCTTGTAATCTCTCATTTGAAACAGTAATTTTGATGTCGCTAGACTACAAAGCCTTTGACATGAAATACTTTTTATTACGGCTGGAATATGCAATTTTAAGCATATAGTTAAAATTTAGACTTTTTGAAATGAAATCCAAAAAATTATGCTAAAATAAAGCAAGTGTAATCTAGTTCTTTCTAAGCTCTACGGTCTTGGTAAGATGCTCGGGCACATTCAAGCGTAGTATAATCTCTGAGATTAGCCAGCTCTCGGGTTCCTTCTTACAACGCTTGCATTTAATTCCTAGGGCTACCTCTTGAATCCCGGTCTTCTCTTGGAAAAATTTTCCTAAAATGGATTTTAGAAACAAAGCTGGAACCCCAATTCGACATTCTTTCCCTTTGATTTCTGGACATTTTCGAACCTCCTCAGCTGCAAATATATGAGTGTGTGTGTATATATATATATATATATATATATATATATATATATATATATATATATATATATATATATTATACACACTTTAATAAATGTTATATTGTTCCATATAACTAAAAGTTAATTATTTCATTAGAAAACTTATCAAGAAATTGGAGAATATCTTCACACTGAAACATATTGTACAACTGACAGCCGAGCCATACATAATCCCTTGGTGACCATGGGAGAAACACCCCATGCTCCTTAATCTCATGTGTAATGAATTTCTCCCAAGCAGCCTTCCTATTTTTTTCTGTGATTTTGTCAATTCATCTTTTGATTGTGTCATCACTATTGGTTTCCATATCCCAGTAGGGGTGTATACGAATCGAAGCGAAGCAAATATATCACTATTCGATTCGTATTCGATTGAAGTGATATGTATTCGAATTCGGATTCGTATATAATTCGAATTTTAAAAAATATTCGTATTCGATTCGATAGATATTTGACATATTTGAATTCGTATTCGAATATTCGAATTCGAAAATATTAGTAATTGTTTCTTAAAACAAATTTTTTAAAGACATTAAATTATTATTTTATAATAATGTAAAATGTAGTAAAAATTAAAATGTAGTAAAAATATGTTAGAATATATATAAATTTATTTATAAATTATAATATTCGAATATATAAATTTATATGTACACAAATATTTAATATATTAGAATATATATAAATTTATTTATAAATTATAATATTCGAATAATTTGAATAATAAACGAATCAAATCTATTAATATTTGTATTCGAATTCGAAAATAATTCGAATCTAAAATAAGATTTCTATTCGGATTCGAATTCGAATATAGCGAATACGAATCATCTTTTTCGAATACGAATCACGAATCGAATACATTTTATTTGATTTGTATGCACCCCTATATCCTAGAAGCCTCTTCTCTAAGACTGAGAATATAACATGTTTGTAAAGAATAGCACTCTCTATTAAAAGACCTACCTACATACCCACCATTTTATTTAAATAACAAGGGTTTGAAGTACCTCGTCTGATTCCAACTTTGTCAAGGCTGAGCTTTTATAGTTGCGATATGGGCGTTTTGAGTTCCGTCCCTGAAAAAGGCCATGAATGATGACCTTTTTCATTTCTTCTTTGCCCACCGGCCATTGCTTCGAATCAATTCCGTTACACGTGCTAGTGGGACGCTTAATACAAACTCTATTAATTGTCTGTTTAAAATGTAAACGTATTTTAATTGATATACATTTAGAACACTGTATGGAAACAAGAATTTACAAAACAAAATAAAAAGACCATATGTTGGTGTGGATGTGGGAGCAACCATAGTAGGAGAGCAAACTTTTAGGGCAACTGTATGAAGAAATTTAATACAGTGAAGTAACAGTAATAAATGAAGAAGTGGACCTAGACCAACAAACAGCACACAGTGAAACACTGCCCAAATAAACAGCACACAGTGAAACACCACCCAATCAAACAGCACACAGTGAAACAACACAGTATAATATAATAAAATGTTAAAGTTTTGAAATGAGATAAGCCAACATGAATTGAACAATTCTCCATCATAAAAGTAATTTCATGTAACAAGTCGTCATTGGGACGGCTTGTAACAATTTCAGGTGAGGAAGAAGAAATTAAGCACCTCAGTTGTTGAAGATGAGACCAAGGAGAATTGGGACGGCTGGACCAATTGGAGGCGAAGAAAACGGTGAAGAAGACGATGGCGTCTAGTAGCTTTTGGTGCGAGCAAAAGGAGGCTAGGGATTCCTCTGCTAGCTAGGGCTTGGATGGATAAAGCGCATGGGTGAGTGGCCACGGAGTCTCAAAGATACCGAATCACATACTCCCCTTTTTTTGAGAGAAATCAAATACTCCCTAATACTCCGTTTATGTTGTAATAATTCTTTTACTTAAATGTTGTTTTGTTTGATTTTCATAGTCTTTTTCTTGAAAAAAAATTAAACCCCATGTAATTGAGATACTATAACATGAGATTCATAACTATGAAGACTGAAGAGGGACCATGCATGTAAAATTCTTCAATACATGGTTGTTGGTGAGGTCAAAGGAGATCGATGAGATCCAACTAACTATGGCTCTCACATTGTTAGATGTGCAAGATATCAACAAAAAGTTATCCCCCCAAAAACAAATTTCCTCCTATTATTCTAAAGTAACGATATCTACTGTACATAGAGACACTCTCCCATGGTTCGCGCTTGTAATCTCTCATTTGAAACAGTAATTTCAATGTCGCTATACTACAAAGTAATTTTGAAATTAGATTAGCCAACATGAATTGAACAATTCTCCATCATAAAAGTAATTTCATGTAACAAGTCGTCATTGGCTCAATTTCAGGTGAGGAAGAAGAAATTAAGCACCTCAGTTGTTGAAGATGAGACCAAGGAGACTTGGGACGGCTGAACCAATTGGAGGCGAAGAAAACGGTGAAGAAGACGACGGCGTCTAGTAGCTTTTGGTGCGAGCAAAAGGAGGCTAGGGATACCTCTGCTAGCTAGGGCTTGGATGGATAAAACGCATGGGTGGGTGGCCACGGAGTCTCAAAGATACCGAATCAAATACTCCCCTCTTTTTTTTAGAGAAATCAAATACTCCCTAATACTCCGTTTATGCTGTAATAATTCTTTTACTTAAATGTTGTTTTATTTGATTTTCATAGTCTTTTTTTTGAAAAAAATATTTTTAATCCATGAAATTACCTACTATGCAATTGAGATTTCTCAAACCAAAAAAAAACAAAATTAAACCCCATGTAATTCAGATACTATAACATGAGATTCATAACTATGAAGAGGGAGCATGCATGTAAAATTCTTCAATACATGGTTGTTGGTGAGGTCAAAGGAGATCGATGAGATTCAACTAACTATGGCTCTCTCATTGTTAGATGTGGAAGATATCAACAAAAAATTATTCTCCCAAAAACAAATTTCCTCCTATTATTCTAAAGTAACGATATCTACCGTACATAGAGACACTCTCCCATGGTTCGAGCTTGTAATCTCTCATTTGAAAGAGTAATTTTGATGTCGCTAGACTACAAATCCTTTGACATGAAATACTTCTTATTACGTCTGGAAGGCTAAAATCCATCATTGGTGCGTCAACTTTATGAGTTGTTCACGATTGGTCTTTCAAGTTTTAAAAGTCCATAAATAGTTCTTCGAATTTATGAGTTGTGCACGATTGGTCCTTCAAGTTTCAAAAATCCATAAGTTAAAAGTTATGGATTTGACCGTAAATATTAAAAGTTAAACGAAACACTAGTTTCATATAATACGAGTAAATTCCAGTAGGTACGACTACGCCGTATTATATGGAGCTAGTATTCCATTTAGTTTTTAACATTTACTGTCAAAAAGACCTTATCTAGAGGACTGACTGATGTGTACTTGAAAGACTACTTATGGACTTTTAAAACTTGAAGGACCAATTGTGCATAACTCATAAAGTTGAAGAACTATTTATTGACTTTAAAAATTTAAAAGACCAATCGTGCACAACAGAAAAAGTTGAAGGACCAATGATGGAGTTTAGCCACATTTGGAATATGCAATTTTAAGCATATAGTTAAAATTTAGACTTTTTGAAATGAAATCCAAAAAATAATGCTAAAATAAAGCAAGTGTAATCTAGTTCTTTCACTCTTAATCTCTTATTGCTGTGACTACGACAAATTCTTCTGTATAGTGGTATATTAGGATACAAAATCGAATTATCAGTTATGCATGTACTCCTTAGTCCTTACATAGCATTAAAATATCTTACAATTCTATTCAAGAATTAGGTATTTAATTTTTTAAATTCACATCATTATCAACTATAATCGATGAGTAGATAGATGAGGAATTTACCTGAATAGCACTAAAACATACTGACTTTCTCTAAATAGGACTACATATGTTTTTCTTTCCAATGTAGCACTTTTAGTCATTATGCATTAGTCATTATTCAAGCAAAATTTCGCCATCACTGGACATTATGGACATTATAAGTGCTATTTAGAGAATAAAACAGTTTAAGTGTTATTTAGGGAAATGACTTAAGTTTTAGTGCTATTTAGTGCAAATTTTTCTAGATAGATTCCCCAAATATACATAATGTAATGGTTGAGGGGCCGTTTTGTAAGTTTTGAAAATACTAGTTTTAAAATTTAGAAATAATGATATGCACTTTTAAATCTGAAATGAATTTATTTGAAGAAAAAAAGAAAGGAAATTAGATGTATATTGAATGAGGTTATGAGAGACGGGTTCGGCGATCAGCCGCTAGCAGAGGTGACCGGCACGAGGTCATCATCGACTAGCTTCCCGACATGAAATTGGTGGCACAGGTGGCCAGAAAATCAAGAAAGTCCCAAGTTCTTGACTTGGTGACCACCGGTGCATCCAATTTTTGATTAAAAACTTGTTTAGAGACAAAAACATTAGGTGCGAATGAAATTGAAATACCTATGGATCGGATGAAGAAAACAAAGTGAAATGTGAATTGGGGAGATGTGTGTTGAAATTCGCATATGTTGAAATCGATAATATTTTTAATATTGGCATAGAATGACGAATATGAAGAGGGAGTAAACATAAGATTTTCAATATCTTCATAAATATGAAGAGTTGAAATCTTTTTGAGTTGACAAAATAATAAAATTAGAAATTTAATATCAGAGTTATTGAAACCCATATTATTTTGCTCACCTGACATGCCCTTAATGATATACTCGTATTTTTTTCTATTCTGGAATGTTGTCTGTAATTTTGAACTCAAGGTTATAACCAAATTAATAATATAACAATAACATAAAATTTGATAATAAGGTGAATAATATTTTGAAACCATTTATTTTCTACAGAGAGTAATTATCCGTATGACATGTTAATAATGTTACCAAATTCTAATGTGGCTACTAAGTCTATACTAATTTTATAGATTTTGATACATAAATGTTATGTAAGTGTTGAACTTTTTTGCAAAAATGAAAAGATTTATTACTAATCTATTTTTTTGAAAATAGTCTACTTTTATGGTGGAATTTAAAACTTCGTAAGCACAATTCTAACTATATGTTATTCGAGCTTGTTTGAGAATGACTTTAGATATTAGCGTTAGCGTTTTGGATAAAATTTGAACAATGCAGATTACTTTGAAAACACTTACGCTAAATGCTGGTCGTAGATAGTTTTTTCAAAATGATAACTTTATTTCGAAAGAAGCTTGAAAAAAATTCCATTATTTTTTTTTGTTTTGAAAGAATATGCCACAAGATACCGGCCATTGCATCTGGCAATAGGACACAAACAAGGCCAAAATAGGATAAACGTCTGCGGCATATCAACCCCCGCGATTTTTTCACGGCAGCTACGCCGTCGCCCACGGCCCCGTTCTCTCTCTCCCGCTTCCACCTCCGATTCATCTCTCTTTCTCTCTACGTCTTAAGATTCTCTTGCTTTCGCAAGATCGTTAGGGTTATTTTCCCCCCTTTAATTCTGGATCTAACAATGACTCACTGGCAACAATTCGTTCAACCGGTGTTCCTCGGCTTGATTTTCTCTTTCCTTCTCGCGAAGCTATTCTCTGTAATCTTCTCCTTCCGCGACGAGAATCTCCGGGTTTCTCGGAGCGAGTCGGTAGGCGACGATCCTAAGCCCGCCGATGCTGCGTTGAAGGCGACTACAGATGCCGAGCTCCTCCGCGACGAGGGTTTGGAAGAGAAGAAGGAGCCGCTGATTCAAGGGGAGGATGATGGATTTAGCGAGGACGATGATTGGGAAGGTGTGGAGAGCACTGAGTTGGATGAGATGTTCAGTGCCGCGACGGCGTTTGTGGCTGCCACTGCCGCTGATCGGTCGGCGATTAAAGTCTCGAATGAGGTTCAGTTGCAGCTCTATGGACTCTACAAGATTGCCACCGAGGGACCTTGCAGTTCTCCACAGCCTTCTCCTCTGAAAATGACTGCGCGTGCCAAATGGTAATGTACTTTATTTTACTTTTTTACTATTTATAGTTCTGTTTAATTAATCCTGTGGTGCTGAACTTTGTTAGAAGTAGAAGGTAAATAAGCTAATTGCTCTTTGTCATTGTTGTTCAGTTTTAGCTTGGCTACTACTTTCTAAAATATCTTGAATTTTACATTCAATTCTCCAATCTCAACTGTTGGCAAGCTGAAAGGGGTGTATCATGATTTTCTAGGCAAGCATGGCAAAAGTTGGGTGCCTTGCCTCCAGAAGAAGCCATGGAGAAGTATATTGACATCATTACGGAGTTGTATCCTACTTGGGCTTCTGGTTCATCAATGGTAAGGGCAACACCTTTTCTGGTACCGTATCGTTTATGCCTTTATTTGTCTTTGGTATGTTGCTCTTAATCTTAGATTGCTGTTTTTTTGTATTCTCAAAATGTTGGCAGAAGAAGAATCGGGAAGAAAGTGGAAGTTCATCTGGTGGTGACTCTAAGGCTACGATGGGACCTGTGTTCAGCAGCTTTATTTATGAAGAAGAACCCGGAAATGAGCTGTAAGCTTTTGCAATACTACTAGAAGATTCTTAAGTTTGAATGGTTTATCTATTCTATATTTCTAATCAACCAGCTGTCTAATTAACAACTTGTTAGCTACTCCGTATTTTTTGGCTAATCAACGTTATTTTTTATGAAGGGTCTAAGTGAAACAATGTCTTTATTTTTAGAGGGGTAAGGCTGTGTCCGGCTAGACCCCGTGGCCCCAACAATGTTGGGATTATACTAGGTTTTGTTGTTTTTATTGTTGGATCAAGTTGATTGTTTTAGCAAATGCTACTTTACTTTTAATGTCTGCCTGGAATGGATTGGTTAATAATGAAAAAAGCTAGGTCCAGAGGTACATTTTTCTGGCTAAAGTTCCTGAAATTGCTTGAGAAGATTGTTTTAGCTTTTTTCTTTACTTTAATTAATTAAAGTATTTGATTTTTTTCATTGTTGAAAAATTTCAGGAAATTTATCAACACCAGGCTCATTAAAAAGAGCCGAAAATTCACCTTTACTAAACAGGATCTAAATAAAACAAGAACTTTTTCTCTCGGTGGTTAGATTAAATCTGAATGAAGTATCTCTTTATTGTATGCATGGAAGAGTAAGAATTTCTCCTTTGTTGAACTTTTCTGTTGTCTTTTGTAGAAAGTTGGCTGATATACATGCCTTTGCAAGAGAAGGAGATGATAAAAATTTGCTCATGTGTATTGAGAGTGGTGTTCCAGTGGATCTGAAGGGTTAGTACTTAGTAGTTTCTCAATCGTGGTATTGTGCTGTTAGCATATTAAATCCTTGAGGATATGTCCATACGTATACACTATGATACTAGTGATTTGCTGCTGCAAAATAGTTCAGAATACATAAATTTCTATTTAGGATTTTTTCTCAGTAAACAGGAAGGGCTGGGTCTCAATTCTCAGCTCTTTCGGCTAAAGGGACTTGTATTTTTTTCCTTGAAACCATTTTAGATAGTGAGGGTCGCACTCCATTGCACTGGGCTGTAGATCGTGGCCATATGGAGACCACAAAATTGCTTATAAGCAGGAAGGCCAATGTAAATGCAAAGGCAAGATTTGATTACTCATTCATACCTCCTATTTATCGATTTTAATGAATGCACCCCCTCCCCCCAAGAAAAAAAGTTCCATGTTTGGTATACATCATCATTATAATCCACAACCGAATCCTAACATGTTGAGGACTTGAGGTTGGTGGCATTACTTAAGTGTTTAGTGCCAATGATTTGAAAAAAATTAATAAACACTTTATGTTCAAGCCAAAAAACATAATGAAAATGTTTTATACATGATGCCCTTCATGTTACAACCTTCATAAAAAGAAATGATAAGATTAAAATTCTAAAATCGTCAGCATTTTAAGATAGTTTCACATGCACGAACAATATAATGAGATGGACATGAACTGACATATTGTCTAACGTCATGTTTCATTTTAAAATTGATGCTGTAAAATCAACCCACAATTATGCAACATGACTAGGTGTTTGGTCGATGTACAACTTTTAGAAGTTGGCAAGCTACAACAATTGAATTTATGAGATCATATTTATATTTTAGAATTTCTTTGTTAATTTAACTAAATGCATCACATTTTCTAGGCTCAGCAGTTTGTTCTTATGGTTCTCCATGCTATTTGCCTTATGTGATGGGTATCCCACTTAAACATTTGCCACCTAACAGAATTCAGATTTAGGATGATGACAATTTCTTGGCTCTTTTTAATTGAAGGACAATGAAGGTCAGGGACCATTGCATTACGCAGCTGTATGTGAAAGAAAAGATATTGCAGAAATGCTTGTGAAGAACAATGCTGACATTGGCATGGAGGATGGTGAAGGAAATAGGGCCCGGGATCTATGTGGATTTGAGTGGCCATGGCTCCGTGCAGCTAGCGAGTGAGCTTTTACACATTTCCCTGTACTACGTGATCATTGGTTTTAGCTCGTATCGATGTACATATATACACTAATATAAATACATATGATGTCTCTCCCTCTCTCCGTCTTTCTCCCTCTTTCTATACACATACAACTGCATCTTATTGCCCCAATGGCCATTGTTCCTTGTTTCTTTTTGAATTTGTATGGCTTCACACCATGGATGTGCAAAAGATAAATTTGGCATTGTTGGGCAATGATCTGGTTGTGTTCCCTTTTTGCTACTAGCGGATTGTTCTTTTAACCCATTTACGAAGTTGTTTTACATTCACCCAAAGCTTGTCGCAGACAGCGCTATTTCTTGTCTTAAAATTTGTCATTGAATGTCTATGCCAAGGTTAGAAGCTGGTGGGCAAACATACTGCAAAGAATTGAATAAAAATTGATCTCCCCCTATTCTAGATCTCATATAAACTCTTGTATTCTCAGTTACCCCGGTGAAACCGAGTACCAAGATACATTCTTAGGACATAATCTTTTTCTTACATTAACTCTTTATATATATATATATATATATATATATATATGTATATATATATATATATATATAGGTTCTGGTGAGAATGCAATCTTAGGAGAGAAATGAGAATGAATCTGGTGCTTTAGATTGTAAGATCTAAGGATCAAGATTTCATCAAAATTAGATGCACCAAAATGGTGCGAAAATGCATCACGTTGAAATGCACCTTAAACCTTCGAAAATGCACTATCTCAAAATCTGAGCGCAGGATGCAATTAGAGCCGCACGATACATCAGATCCGATGGCTAGATTTTATTCTCATTTCTCTCCACAAGGTGCATTCTCACGAGAACTGGCCCCTATATATATATATATATATATATATATATATATATATATATATATATATATATATATATATATATATATATATATATATATATATATATATATATATATAAAATCAAAGATAGTCTAACAGGCTATGTCGCTAGTCCCTTTTGAACATCAAAAACAAGCCTTTTGAAAACTACATTGATAGATTTGGGAGTTATAATATAACTACACACGACCTATTGGACTCAACTAAGTCAAATATAAATGGTATAAATGTGTGTTGGTTGTCAAGTCATGTTTGATCGTGTTTGGATAGTTTGCATGAAACAGCTTTTAGCATAGCCTGACTCAGCGTGAAAGTATTACTTCTTCCGTCCCCCTGTATTTGTCCACTTTCATTTTTACACACCATCCAATGCACTTCTTTAATTCATTTTATCTTGTAATTTGTATATTAAAAAATTATAAAAATTATATATTAATAATCTATATGTTAAGACAAATCAAACAAGATCAGATATGACTATATTTAGGCTTACACATTGAGAAAATTTGATGGGTCAAAGTGCTTAGATGAACAGTTCCAAAAGTCAAATGTGGACAAATACAGGGGGACGGAGGGAGTAGTTCCTAAACCCACAAAAAGGAAAGTCCTTGTTAAATCCATACTAGTATGTCTTCCTCACTTCCATTTAAAAACCTCCATGTTTGATTTAATTATGAAAGAAAATAAATGTCTAATTATTTTGATCAAAAGTTTAAAATGTTTACTTAAACCAATTTCAAGAAAATATAGTTAAATAAATATCAAAATCACAAAATAAATTATAATTAATTAATTTAATATTTTTAATTTATGTGACTTTAACTAAAATTTATATATAGGACATAACTTTTTAATAAATTGTGACTTTAAATTAATTTTTTTGTTTTATCGAGATAATAATAATAATAATAATAATAATAATAATAATAATAATAATAATAATACTTCCGTTCCAGAGTATTTGTCCACTTTCATTTTTACACACTATCCAATACACTTATTTAATCCATTTTATCTTGTAATTTGTATATTAAAAAATTATAGAAATTATATATTAATAATCTACTCCGGTATATGTTAAGACAAATCAAACAAGATTACACATGACTATATTTAGGCTTACACATTGAAAGAATTTGTTGAGTCAAAGTGTTTAGATGAACAGTTCCAAAAGTCAAAAGTGGACGAATATAGCGGGACGGAGGTAGTAATAATTTATGAAAATAAATCTAAATAATTTTTTCAATTATTGTTGAAACAAATTGGAAGAAACTAAAAATAATTCGAAGAGTCAGAAGAATTAAAATTTAAAAATAATTAGAAGAAATAAAAAAAACTAAAAGAAATTGAAGTTAATACGAAAAAAAAAAGAAGTGTAAAAAATGTAAGAACATGGTTGACCGAGAAAGTTCCACTTGAAGAAGGGCTGCTCTAGAGTCTTATCCAGCGACCATCTCGATTGCCGTCCTGAGCTATAATATGGTCCGAGCTCTTTCCTGCAAACTGTAGAAATGGCGTCTCTTCTCTGCTCCTATGCTAACATGTGCTGCGGGTGAATATATTATTTTCCATTCCATTTCTTTTTTATTTTTCTTCCTATGTATTGTGTCTGTGTTTTTTTTCGTTTCTTTTCAAAATTTATTTATGTGTCATTCAATTTTCAGGATAAATACATCATGCCCAAACACCAATTTTGGAGAATTGCATACAACCAGGTTGTCTTTTTGTAATTTTCTCCAAAGACAAAAGTGCGATGTTAAGCTTTGCTTTCTTCTGAAAACATCATTTTCTGGGTCTGGTATTGGGACACATATCAGTTCGGATGTTCTTAATGAAGCAACTTCAGAAAGGTATGAACTTTATAGTTGCCCATTTTTTGCATTCAATATTATCTGGGTAATTCCGCATTTCGTTTTTTATGATAAAGCAGTTGAAAAGGTTGGATCTTTTTATGTACTCCATTTGATTGCTATATTAAAAGTTGATTAAATTCTGTCACTATGGAATTTTATAGTACTTTTGGTGCAGAATGTATTTCCATATCTCTTATACAGAGTAATTATTTGTCGATGTATGTTCTTATTGTAGGTCTAGAAATATGGGCAAATGCTTCAAAAGTGACTTGAGCTGCATTAACAATCTTGAAGAGCAACTGCGTGTTCTCTTTAATGAAGTAAATTCCATGATAAAATCAGGAAATAAAAATGATGCTGTTGATCTACTTAAGGCAAATTATGAAGCTGTTAAAGAACAGATAGATGCCGGTTTCAGGGGTATAGAAGAGGCCAGGGTTCTTGACATAATAGCATTGGGCCACATTGCCCATGGAGACCTAACCACAGCTATTTCCATAATGGACCTGGTAATTTCTTTTGTGCACTCATCCTCCTTTGTGTTTTTTATTTGTTCATTTCCTACTTGTGTTCTTTGTTACCGATGTGGTATTAATATTGGTACTTGGCAGTTGAATGGGATTGTTGAATATTTGAAAAATGAAGAACCGCTCTTGGACTCAATACTAATGCATATGGGAAGCGTGTATGATAAATTGGAGAACCTTGAAATGTCCTTACTATCATACAAAAGAGCACTTGCAATTGTGGAGAGAAAATATGGTGATTTTTGGTTATTTGCTTCCTTATTATTATTATTATTATTATTATTATTTGGGGGTGGCGTTTGATGGCTAATTTCTATATTGGAGAGGGAAATTTGCATTATAAACAGCCTTTTCAACTTGGCAGGGGAGACCAGTTCTTTTCTCATTGTTCCATTGTTAGGAATGGCAAAAGCTCTGGGCTCTTTTGGTAGGACCAAAAAAGCTATTGAAATATATAACCGTGCAATTTCGGTATTGGAATCTTGCAATGACATTGAAAATGAAGAATTAGTGTTGCCTCTATTTGCTTTGG